GGTGTGGGGCCAGGATCCCCCTCAGGGTCCGTGTTCCAGAGAGGCAGTATGGAGCCGGATCCCTCAGGGTCCATGGGGCCAGGATCCCCTCAAGGTCCTTGTTCCGGAGAGGCGGTGCAGGGTCGGATCGCTCGAAGGTCCGTGTGCCAGAGGGGCGGTGTAGGGCCGGATCCCTGAGGGTCCATGTTCTGGAGAGGCGGTGTGGAGCTGGATCCCCTGAGGGTCCGTGGGGCCAGGATCCCCTCAGGGTCCCTGTTCCAGAGAGGCAGTATGGAGCCGGATCCCTGAGGGTCTGTGGGGCCGGGAGAGGCAATGCAGGGCTGGGATCCCTCGAGGGTCCGTGTTCCAGAGGGGTGTCGAATTCCTGAGGGTCCGTGGGGCTGGGATCCCCTCGGGGTCCACGTTCCAAAGAGGTGGTGCAGGGCTGGGATCCCTCGAGGATCCGTGTTCCAGAGAGGCAGTGTGGGGCCAGATTCCTGAGGGTCCATGGGGCCGGATCCCCTGAGGGGCCGGGAGAGGCGGTGGAGGGCTGGGATCTCTCGAGGGTCCATGGGGCTGGGATCCCCTGAGGATCCGTGTTCCAGAGAGGCGGTGCAGGGCCGAAATCCCCGAGGATCCATCCGTGTTCCGGAGAGGCGGTGTGGGGCCAGGATCCCCTGAGGGTCCGCGTTCCAGAGAGGCGGTGCAGGGCTGGGATCCCCTGAGGGTCCGTGTTCTGGGGAAGGCGGGATATGCCGAGCCCGTCCCGGTTCCCGGGAAGGAAGGCGGGATGCCGAGCCCGTTCCCAGGAAGGAAGGCGGGATGCCGAGCCCGTTCCCAGGAAGGAAGGCGGGATGCCGAGCCCGTTCCCAGGAAGGCAGCCGGGATGCCGAGCCCGTCCCGGTCCCCAGGAAGGAAGGCGGGATGCCGAGCCGGTTCCCAGGAAGGCAGCCGGGATGCCGAGCCCGTCCCGCTCCCGCGGGCTCACAGGGCCAGCTCGGCGCCGTTGGAGCGCAGCCCGTGCTCGTCGAAG